TTGAGATTTCCTAAAGTATCATGCCATTGTTTCTATATAATGCAATATTTTATCACCCACAAAATCACTTTTATCGCCAAGCTAGAGGGAATACAAAAATCTAAATTTGTTGGAATGACGATACATTACCTATTCAGACAGCACTCTTGCTATCACTAATTTCCTTCATTTTTGGACTACTTCAAAACACTTGAAAGGTTCATCTTGTTATTACTAGTTTTTGTAAGTTTTCAAGAAGGCTAGATGCTGGAAAACAAGGCTTATTCATCTTTGATTAAAAACCCCTCCATAGTAATACAGTAATACATGGGATCTTTTGGTTTATATGCTATAATTTTCTGAAAACTACGCATTCTCCTTTCCTGCTCTTTAAAGCTGATATCAAGTTAGACTATTGCTTTAACTTCACCATTACCATTGACACTAATAGGGAGTATTTCCAGGTTTCAAAAGGCAATGTGGACATTTCCATGAGCTACATTATGTCCTTTGGTACACATTATGTCCTTTGATACTGTGCACTCCCAAAATACACTGCAACAAAAAAACAGACACCCATTCTACCAGGGATGGGATGCATATATTTTTACTACCGTTTCTGTGGGTGTGGCTAGAGGGCATGGCCATGGGACTGGATGGGCGTGGATTCTTTTTCTTTTTTGCAACACACCCCCGCGCTCTGTTTTTTTTGCCTCCTGGGCCTCAGGGAAGCCTCCTGGGAGCAAAACCAGGTTCAGGCCCAGGACGCAAAAAAACAGAGCACGGTGTTTGTGTGTATGTATGCAGCACCCCCCCCCCCCTCGCACACCCCTTTTTGCCTCCTGGGCCTCAAGGAAGCCTCCTGGGCGAAGCAGTAGAACAGTGAGGAGGATCTTGGCACAGCTGATTGTCGGAACAGCTGATCATCAAAACAGCTGATCGTTGGGAGGGGGAAAAAAGAAAACAAAAACTGGTTCGACCAAACCGGTAGAATACCACCACTGCATTCTTCCAAAGAATGGCAGAAAGAAGGTAAAGTGAAGACAGCCAAGAGGGAAGTCACACCCCCAGGAACTATATCTGTCTTTCTCTTCTACCTTCTTTGGGAATACATAGGCATGGACAGCAATATCATGTGGGCACTGCCTTAGATCAATTGAATTCCAAACATTTAGAGGCAAAATTGGTACTTTAAAGTAAAAAAATAACAGTCTGAAGTGGATGGCTATGAGATAGATTTGATGTCTTAAGTCAACCCCAAAAAATGAAAAACAACTCCTCTCCTGATTGCTTCTGGGCTGTGGGTTTAAAATAAAACATTTAGGAAAAGGCAAAGAAAGATTTGGGTGAATAAGGCATAGTTCAGCACAATAAAACTGCTGTGGTGGGACATATAAAAAAGAAGAGAGGAATTGCAAGAACTAAGCATTATATGAACATTTAGAAATATCCTCCTTTCCAAAGCAGATAATTCAAGTTGATCTCTCTGAAATATCACTGAAAGGAAAAATATACAAAAAGTATACAATTGGATTTAACAGTCCATTTGTAGGATAATGTCTAAAACATTTAAATTGAATTATGCAATTAGGCAAATGATGTAAATTAATACAAATGTCAATGTGTGATTATGCAAATGACATCATGCTTTAGAAAAGTGGGGTTTTTATTCTTTGGAAACTGAAATCCCACATACAAAGACAGCTGAATGGTACAGAATCAAAGTTTATTGTATTTCCCTTACCTCTTTGATTACTGATTGTGGCACTGTCTCAGGATCAATTTCAGTATTCAAATAAAGCAAAGCATACAGGTAACCAGATCTTCCATAAAGCAACTCATCTGGAAGGTCAGAATCTGAAGCAAGGACTATTCGCTGGAGCTGCAAAAGTCTGTGCAAACCAGAATTGAAAAAAATATGCAATGGAGCTCTCATTTTTACATTAAGTCTCAGATGTGATTATGGAATGTGTTATTGTAAGTCTTCATTTGACTTCCATTCACATTATGTAGGATATGTCCTAAAATGTCACAGATGATGCAATCCATGTAAAAGTGGGAGGAGCTTCTAGAGTTTTTAGAAGCTCCCTCACAGACGCCCCTGGCAGCCAGATCTTTTGAAAGACAACTCTACTGATTCCAATCTCATTTATTTCCGATGAAGCATGTTTATAATATCATCTCTATCATTCTTTGCTTCTGTTTCATAAAACTCCCCAATCTTATTATTAGGACATGAAGAAGTTTCGTGTGACAGTGAGATGTTATTTGCAAAAGTATGACAGTGATTAATTCACCACTAAGCATGGATTAGCACACAACTGATTAACGTTCTAAATATAAACATCAATAGAAGAGTGGAATCCCTATGAGCCAATCAACCATCCAATATAGAGGCAAGAAAGAATATAAAGAATGCAAACATCAAACATTTGATGTTTATAACTCTTTAAACATGACTGTTATCAATTTCAAAGTAAAGGAATGACAGGAAGACTTTCCAAAAGCCTCAAGATCAGAATATTACTTTCCAGAATACTTTAAAAAATTAGAATAATTAAATTAAGATATACATACAAAATTAAAATAGGTCATTATTTAGCACAGGAAAAAGGACAACATGAGGACATAGTGCTCTACAATCATCATTTGACAGAGGGATTACTGGGAGTGCTTGCCAGTAATCATCTGCCCGAAACAATCCAAAAGGCAGTCTTATACCAAGGAATACTTAGTTGACCTAGTCTTTTTGTCCTAAACAATCTCAGTCACTCACTTGGTCACACATTCCTTGGATTCACTATCATTTTTCATCTTGTGATACACAACTGCTCCCACTGCTAAAGGTCCAGCATCACCACAAAGAAATGTAACTCTTCTTCCATTCAGATTACGTAGGATTCTCTTCACATAATCCAGGGATCTCTGTAGGTGAGTCGGCTCCTGCGTCACACGATGTAGCTGAAGATACAAGAGGGCTATGCCTGAAATTGCCATACAAAAAGGAAGATGGAAGACTTAGTTGGTGGTTTTCTCTACACTTCTGATCACATATCTAATATGTGATCTAATATGTAATACTGGAGGCATCATTCATGTACACATCTAAATCCAGTAGTTTAACACGTTAAGAAAGAGGCCTACTATTGAAGTATTACATGGCATAAATACAATTCTTTACAATTTTCTATTCTTTTTTCCCTTACCCCTTTTTCCTCTTCTCTCTATAATTCTCTAGTGCTCTTTTTGTAAGAAACTGTAAGAGTTGGATTTTGCTAAAAGACTAAGAGAATTACCAGAATCAGTTTCAATGCTGATATATTGTGGACATTAATCACTCATATTACCACATTCTGGGCCAATTGGAAATTCCACATACTTTTCAAGTTCGACCCTTGTAGAGGTGCAATTGTAGAAAGGCATACGTGATGTTACATAGGATGTGCCACCCACATCATGTCAATCTTCCCCAGAAAGGGATGCAATTGGTTATTAGCCAAAACTAATCGAAACCCCCCTTGTGGGGATCCCAGATAAAAATAGGATTTTTATGGAAAAGTTCAGTCTCATCCAGAAGAGGGTTGAGCACATATAAGACCTTGATGCCGCAGTGGTTAGAATGCAGTACTGCAGCCAAATTCTGCTAATTGCTGACTGCTAGCAGATTGGCTCAGCAGCTCAAGGTCGACTTAGCCATCCATCCTTCCAAGGTGGGTAAAATGAGAACCCAGACTGTTGGGGTCAATATGCTGGCTCTATAAACCATTTAGAGAGGGCTGGAAAGCACTATGAAGTGATATATAATCTAAGTAATATTGCTATAATCACCAAGACCTCAGATTTGTTTGAATTTATCTTTAGATTGTTCTCCAGTATCAGGCTATTACAGACTAAAACATGTACAATGGAAACTCCTGAAACAGCCTATCTTGAACTTTCAGGAAAGAAGTGCAATTGGGAGTCATTATGTACTGGTAAAGCTGACTGCATATCTATGGATAGTTTTCACATATATTAAATAATGGGGAACAAGATTAACTATGCAGTATTGTCTGCGTAGTTGCAACTGTCACAGGACAATTCCTAAGGAGGTCAAATTGATATCTGCCAAGATCACCTTCTGATAGCATTGTAAAAAGGAGAACCAGTTGAACTCAAGCTGTTCAGATAGTCAGGGGCATCAACAGAGTTCCAATTTCTCTGTTTCATTTTCACTTCCTGGTGCATTTTGTCTATTAGGCCTATCAAACCCAAATGGGAAAATGCACTGGCTTCAAAAGATGGCAGTGCTTGTTTGATTGTTCAGAAAATAAGGATTAGGCCTCATTAATACTTGAAGAGAATACCTGTAAAAATATCCCGTAAATGGTAGTTCACTTCTGTATTACTGCCAAGAAAATTACCTGGGTATGTGTACAAAATTATCAAAAGTCTTTGACTCAAAGAAGACTTTATTTCAATCCACTGACTTCTATTACTTTAGATCAACATTTCTAAATCGGTGTTCAGACACAAAAATACAATAGAATAATGGAATGGAATAGAATGGAATGGAATAGAATAGAACAGAACAGTACAGTTCTTTATTGGCTAAGGTGATTGGATACACAAGGAATATTCCAGTGTATATGCTCTCAGTGTACATACAAACAACAAAACGGTAAGTCATAGATTAGAAAGATAGTCATAAATCATGATACAAACAAGTGATAAATCATAAGATATCAATAAGAGAAAGTAGTAGGTAAGATGATAAGATAAGAAGGATAATAGCAATACAGCCCTATTACATGGATAAATATCTTTAGGCAGTGCTGTGGAAATTAGGTGTTTAGTAGAGAGATGGCATTGGGGAAAACTATATTTGTGTCTAATTGTTTTGACATGCAAATGCCAAATGTTGTCCCAGTACTTATCATTTGTTTGGTACTGTGAGATAGGAAAAGAGGGATTGCTATGGAGAATGGACAGGAAGTCAGCTATGCTGGGAAAGTCGCTGACATAGGAAACGGTACAGGTAGAAGCCAACACAAAAGGTCATGTAATTTGTTTGGCACACATCATTTTTAGTACTCATCGAGCCTCCCAGAACCAATTAACAGTGAGTATTAGGTACCACTGAATTTTGTATCACTGAAGAGAAATATGTGGGCAAACAATGCATTTTGCTAAATCATTTTATTTATTGAAATACAATTAAAATGCAAAATTGCTTTTTAGATTTAAATTAAACAGGTTAAAAAAGGAAAGCTATATGTGTCCTTTATTACAAAAATATCAATTCCCAATTCAATTAACTAGCAATGGTCCTTGCTTGTCTCACAAGACCTATGGCTACACAATGGGTAACAACATGTATATATCATGCTGAGCTTCTCCAAGGAGAGGATGGACAAAATGAGTAGGGGGGGGAAATCCAAAATAAAAGTAATATGAACAGATTTTATATTTAATTCACATAAAGCTCCAAAAATATTTTAACACAATGTTGTATTTAAATGTTCATTTTCAAAACTAAGGCTTAGGAGACTTAGGCGACAGTCTCCTAGGAGACTGATACGATTTCTCTTTATTTCTTATTGTATGCCAAAGTTTGAATTCTTTCATCATGATTCAGGAATGAATTAGCAGTGAACTACCTGCACCAGAATTTTGTTCTATTGCATTTCTAAAAAAAAAAAAAAAAGGCAAGTGAGAGGCAGCAAAATTTTTAAAAAAGCATTTCACCAGCTTTCGGCTGTTTCCATTTTTTAAAGCAAACAAATCACAAATGCTACAATTTTGTCACCTCTCCTCCTCCAGAGCCATCTGCCTAGAACGCTTTGCATCCTCCAGAGCCAATAAGAAGGAACAAGCTGAAAAATACTGATCCCTTTTAATAACAGAGAGTGGGCTAATCTGTTTTCAAATTTAACTTTTGTTTGGGACAAAACCAAAGAAATGAATGTTCTCTACCAAAATGCCAGCTTTTCAGGTCATTCCCTGAGCTAATCCTTGCAAGCAATTTCTGGACAAGCCTAGGTCATAGAGAGTAGGGAGAAACAGCTCTCCAATGGTGATCTGAGCAACCAGTTTTAGGGACTGCTCCTTAACTGTTTATACCACAGATGATCATTATTACAATTTATCCAAATCAAGAATTACTGCCCAACTCTGTTCTTATCTCCCTTTTCCCCTTTCTTTGTTAAAAATCTTTTAGGTTTTAAAGTTATTCTGGGAATCTTTTCAGCTGTATGATGGAGCTCAAAACATAACGAAAATAAAAGTTAAATTTGGATTTGTATAAACTTTTATTTTAATAGGCTTCAAATGAAGAACTATGTTCCCAAAGTTAGAGGGATGAAAAACTATGCTATCTCATATCTGTATATAAACTTTGTCCTGCAAGCAATGCATATACTGTGCCCACAAATTACATTACCAACATCAATTCTTCCATATTTATTTTGCTACCTTATATTCTGATTGGCCAATCCTGGAGAGGTACTGAACAGAACATTCAAGCATTGGAAAGAACCAGGGAACTTTCACGTTCTGCAATTCATTAGGCATTGCCTCTAAGAGACATACATATAAGGGGATTAGGTATACATTTATATCTCCCAAATCCCCCTCCTCCCTCCCCAAAACTTCCACAACTCTGTCTTGCCATCTCAATATCTCAGAAAATGAATCTGTAGATTATTTTTTGTTTGTTTGTTTTTGTTTTGCTCACATATTCCTTTTTTACAGAAAAATTTAGTTTATTCAAAAAAGATTAAAATACAAAATACCAAAATATTTTTTAAAAGAAAAAAGAAAAGAAAAAGACTAACAAAATAGGTATCTTAAAAGAAACTAACACAACATACACCTAACATCCTCTCTAGTTGAATATTTTTTAGTGTAATACAGCAATGCTGATTTGCCCTCCCTTGCATAACAGGCCAAAATAATTTCAAACTGTTAAAGTACTAACGCTACTTACAAATTATTGGCCTGTCATTTATAAACTATATTAATAACAAAATGGTTAACAGTTAACACAATAATAATAAAAATATTATGTAAAAGTATAAGAATAACAGAATAATAAAAATTGTAAATAGTAATAAGAAAAAAACAAAAGTTGAAATCTCAAAACCCTCTGTTAACAAATGATTACTGTGATCAACTCACAGAATATTTATCATGGCTTTAGTCCCAATCATTCCAAATATTAACCCTAATCGATCCTGGATCAAATGTCCACTTTTCCTTCTTTATAACATCTCTTATCAATTGCTGATTGATTAAATACAATAAGTCAAGTCTCCAAAGCCAATCAATCTTTCACAGATAAATTATTTCTCAATTAGATGTCATTGTTGTCATCATCATCATTTTAGTCATTATCTATCCATTGCAGGATTAAATCTTCTTCAGCATGTTTCCAGTTAGATATATGAAGTCTATTTCCCATTCTTAAAAAAAACTTCTTAAAAACTCCTTAAAAAATATTTGCCACTCACTCACCCAGAAAATTATCTGCTATTATATAAAAGCAGTGTTAAGCTTTCACTAGGTGTATGTAGTCAGCTCTATGACTTCTGACTTTTTTCCTGGCCAGATTACATTATGTGTGTGCTAAAACTGGACAGATTACAGATTAATTTAAATATTCTCCATTCTTTAAATCTTTCAGTGTGGTCTGGACTCTTTATAGCATTCCCACAGACCCAGAGAAAATTGTGCCACCATGACTAAATGTATTTCAAGCATGCATTCAAAGAAGGAAGAATTCTTGCCTCTATGTGATCAGACATTTAAAAATGTCTAAACATTTGATTTTCTGAATCAAATGTTTCTGAACTAAGGGAAGATGGGGATTCTAGAAATAGTGCAGTGATCAGTAACAAAGATTATGATCAGTGATCAGTAATAAAGATTTAGGGGGATGGAAACTAAAACATACCAAGAATAATTGCAGGAATTGGGGTGACATGATAGCAGTGATCCAATATTTGAGGGCAGTGGTGGAATTCAAATGTTTTTACTACCGGTTCTGTGGGCGTGGCTTGGTGCTCATGTGACTGGGTGGGCATTGCTGGGTGCTCATGTGATGGGTGGGTGTGGCCAACTTGACGTCACTCACGTCAAGGGGCACTTTGCCCGGCCTCTGCTCGCCTCAAAGAGAAATAATTTCCCTGTCTATTTATTTACTACTACTGAACATCCAAAATACACTATTTAATCCTATGTATATATGCCATATGTGTACATACATATTACATAGTATAGAGTGTGTATAGGCACACAAAAAGATACATTATCTACTATATATACCAGTGATGGTGAACCTTTTCGGCACTGAATGACCAAACTGCAACCCAAAACCCACTTATTTATTGTGAAGTGCCAACACGCAAGAGTGGGATCGAACCGGTGTTACAACATGCATGAGGCCGTGTGCTGTGCGTACAGCCATGCCTGATGAGCGCTGTGCGCATGTGCACAGCGTTTGCAAGAAATCACCAGCTGTGACACCTGGACAGCTGACAAGCGCTGCGCGTGGGTGTACAGCATTTGAAAATCCTCTTCTTTCCTGCTTTTTCAACCTCAGCTGTGCCGCGCAAAACAGCTGAGGTTGAAAAAGCAGGAAATAAAGGACACCCACACGAGGTACAAATAGTGGCTTTCATTTTATTCAAATAACAGAGACCCTCTCTCCCCTTTCAGGTGGGGTAAAGTGATGAGGGGGCTCTTGCTTAGATAACTCCCCTTTCCCATAAGAAGCAACATCTCATCTCTCTCTCCCTTTTTCTCTTTCTCCCTCTTTTTCTTTCATCTTTCTCACTCTTTCTTTCATCTTTCTCCCTTTTTCTTTCATCTCCCTTTCTCCCTCTTTCTCTTTCTCCTCCCCCCCCTCTGTCTCTCTCTGCCTCCCTTTCTCCCTTTCTCCTCCCCTCTGTCTTTCTCCCTCTCTTTCTCCCTCTTTCTCTGTTCCCTTTATCCCTTTATCCCCCCTCTGTGTCTTTCTCCCTCCCCCCCCTCTCTCCCAGTTCTCTGGCTACACACACTGTTGCCTGGAGATGAACCGAGGGGGGAGGAGGGTGAAGCCTCCTCTAGCCCTCCTCACGTCTCCTGAATTGACACTTGTGACAGAGGGAGACCAAGAGCAGGAAGCCGAGCTTTGGATTGCGGCGGGCATTAAAGTACCTGGTGGCAGTGCTTCCTTAGCCACGACTGCCGGGCAAGAGAAAAGACATCGGGCTCTGCCCCCACAAAGGAGAACAGTAGCCAGGTCTGTCTGGGAAGGGGGACGCTCCTCCTGTCTCCCCAACTTTTTTCCTAGCCGAGGCGGGAGGGTAGAAGGGACTTTCAGAGGGTAAAGGGGATTAAATTGCTATCTTTCTCCATGCTCAAGGGGAGCTGCTTCAGGTGACCATGGCTTTCTGTCCTGCTTAGAGATAGAAGTCCCACTGATCGGGAATTTTTTTTTTGTCTTGGAGCTATGCAAAACAAGAGCTTTAAACAAGACACAGGGGTGTGAGGCAGGCATGAGGGCACAGGGGAGCGACTGGTGGCAGCGCTCCTGGCTGGCAAGGGGGCAGATGTTCCGGGGCTGCATGAGGCCACCGACGGTACCAACAGCTGGCAGACCAGGAGTGGGAGCAGCTGGGCCTGGGCCGCAGCAAGCAAGCGAGGGAGGTGGGCACAAAGTCAGCAACTTACCAAAAATTATGCAGGCCACAGAAGTCAAGCGAGGACAGGACAGGCAAACAAGCAGCCGCGATGACAACAAGAAAAGAGCGGGAACCAGAGAGCAGCCAAAGAACCATTAGGTAGCGTGTGTGCCTCTGGAGGCAAGAGAGGCAGATAGGGCAGGGGCAGCCAGTGGGACAAAAAGTTAAATGATTTGGTTGGTTTTTTTTTTGCAAATGGGATGGGGAAGGCGTGATCTAGACCCGAAAATCAGCTGGGAGGCGTGCATGCACAATGGAGCTGAGTTGGGCTGACCGCTCGTATGCCCGCAGAGAGGGTTCTGCATGCCACTTGTGCCACGCATGCCATAGGTTCGCCATCATGGATATATACTATGCTATATATATACTCTACACACACACACACACACACACACACACACACACACACACACACAATGCTCTTCTAAAACTATACACATTCAATCTCACTTACTGTGTTTGGAAAAACACACCCAGAGTCCACTTTCTGCCACACATTTAACTATAACTTCTGTATAGTAGAACATTACACACACCTTCAGATGTTCTTCCCTAACATGCACATGACTGTTAGAGCCAGGAGATGTCATGGATTGAGTAAAATGTGGTGAAACTCACTTAACACTCTTGCTTAGCAACCAAAATTTTGGGCTCAATTGTGGTCATACATCAAGGACTATCTCTGCCTTCCTCTGCATGGCAGCCTTATCCTAGTAAACTCCTTCTCTTTTCTGGCAATTTTCCTCTTAGAGGCACCAAAACAATCCAGACGATATAAGGATTTCTGTTGGAGCAGGACTAGATGGCCTCCAGGGTCCCTTCCAGCCCTAGATTGCTGTGATGTTTCAAAGCATCTTCTGAAGCCACATCTAGTGCCAGTGTTTGTGGTCCTTCCTTCCTTTCCCCCCCCCTATCTCTCTGTCCCTTCCTTCCTTCCTCCCTCGCTTCATGTATCTATCTATCCATCCATCCATCCATGCAACTATATGTCATTCACTTCCCCTCCCTCTTCCTTTCCTTTCCTTTCCTTTCCTTTCCTTTCCTTTCCTTTCCTTTCCTTTCCTTTCCTTTCTTCCATGTAGATTCCATACAGCTCTGAACCCTTAAGGCAAACCAAATACAAGTGGTCCTCGCTTAATGGCCTGTTGCTTAGCAAGTGTTCTAATTTACGACTGACCTCCCCAGAGCTACTTGACCTGTTTTTGGAGTTTTGACAGCCATACACACACACACACACACACACACACACACACACACACACGACCAGTTACAACATCCCACACAGTCACGTGACTGAGGTTTCCTATGTTTTTTTTCCCAGTTTCCAACAATTCCTTCTGGTATCTGGTTAAAAATGCCCATTGGGGAACATGAGCTTGTTTAACAACCACAGTCTTCGCTTAATGATCACAAGGTTCACTTAATGACCATGGTGTTTGCCTAACCCAGGGGTCCAACCTTAAACACTCAAAGAACCATTTTTCTATTTGCTTTTAAACAGGTATTTCCCTCTCTGTGTCTCTTTCTTTGTCCCCCCCCTCATCTCTCTCATCTCTTTTTCTTTCTCCACTTCTCATCTTTCTCTCTCATCTCTCCCTCTCTCTCTCACACACACACCTTTCTTTCTTTCTCCGTTTCTCTTTTTTTTAAAAAAAAACAAATTTTATTAATTTTTGAAGACAAACAAAACATAGGACATAAAAGCATAAAACCTCCTTTCCAAAAATTACTTATAAGTTTTAACAAGGCAAATAAAACATCATTTTTAAGGCATAGTTCCACATTGTCACATTTCCATTTAAGTTTATACAGCATAGTTCCAAATTATCACATTTCCATTTAAACACCTATATATCTTTTCCAAATTTCTCATTATTTCTCCCTTTACTTTTGTTCAATTATATTTCTTTCTATCAAGGTTTTATTAA